ATGCTACAGTCCCAGGCCTGAACCCAGCCCCTGCAATACCAGCCCACACAGCCCCACCAGCTGCTCAGCCGCCAGCCCCCAGCATGAATAGACTACCTACCACTTCCTCTCCCTTAAAGGGCCAGACACCTCTTGACACCCACAGGTGGGGAGCACCAGCACCCCCATCACAGCAGGGCCTCATGTAAGGAGAGGAGCAGGCCCCACAGGATTAGGGCGGTGAGACCCACACAGGGCATACCTCAGAGGGACGAGCTGGCCCTGTGCACTTGGTGAGGAGGCAGACCGGGCAGGCTCCAGGCGTGCCGCCTGGCTCCCTCACCTTCGGGCACTCACACTCCCAGTGTCCCTCTCCTGCAAGGCAGGCCTGAGGAGCGTGTGTCCCTCCTGCTGCCTGCCCCGCTGCCCGTGGCACGACCAGCTCTGGTATCACCCTAGAGATGCAGATGCCACAGAGACTTGTCTCTCCTGCACACAGAGTTCCGAAGTGGCCAGATTTTGGGTAAATACAACACCAAATTTTGCTGCTGGTATTAAGAAATGGAAAGCCTTCAAATCTGTGGCAAGATGCAGGGTTTCAGGTAGAGGTTTTGAAAGGACAGATGGCTACTGCTTAGCAGTCCGGAGCCTCACCATGGGACTAACACCTGCTGCCCCACACCTGCCCTTTCCCAGCTCGAGAGCTACGTCCAGGACAACATGAAGAGGCAGATGGCAGAGCTCCAGCAGAACGCTGTGCAGAACCAGACAGCAGCGATGATAGAGATAGGGACGACCCTGCTGAACCAGACGGCGGAGCAGACACGGAAGCTAACGGATGTGGAAGCCCAAGTGAGTAATGAGCGCCACAGCGGCGGTGCTCTGCGTCCTGGGGTTGCCGGGGGGATCAGGCACGACTGCGGCCGTCATGAGCAGGGGAGAACAGGAACCCACGGGAGAAGGAGAGGCCAGGGCTACCGATGGATGCCACGGGTAAACGTGGCTCTACATGAAGGCTGAGTGCATTCGGTCCGGAAGGGACACCAAGGCACCGCGATGCGCTTGGATTCCTTCACCCTACAGCTCTTTCCTGGACTCGTTTCCAAGCCCTCAACTTTTTGTGCATTTGGGAAATGAAAATCACTGGGGCAGAGAGCTAGAAATTTCACCTTATGTCGAATCTAGAATTGAGCTGAAACCTTAGTCTCTGGTAATAACCGATGCCCAGGGGACACAGCAGGCTGTGTACACACTCAGACCTCTAGCCACGAGCCCGAGTTCAGCTGGCTTGGTTTTGCCACTGCCTTGCAAGTGGGTCTGGGCTGGGCCCTGGGCTCTGCCAGTCACTGGTGCTTGCTCATGGTGACAGGGGTCTGGGCCAGAGCACTGAGGGCTAAGCTCTCTTTTTGCTTTAAGATTCTGTGACTACTAGCTAATAGCAAATAAAAGAATACAGAATATGAAAATACTAGGATGAGAGCAAAACATTTAAATAGCAAAGAAACCAAAATACCAGAGCACCCAGAGTTAAGCTGAACAAGACAGCTTGTGACTGTGAGGACAGCCCAGGGGAGGAGGACAAACCGCTGTGGGCAGAAGGAACGGAGACACTCGTCGCGCCAGCCTGCGGGGAGCCAGGTGTCCGCTTCTGACTCCCAGTCCTGGCTTCGCTATGGGCTGAGGGCATTGCTTTCGTTCTCTGAATTACAATTAATGCTTCATAAAAAGTAGTGTATCAGCTGTGAACTCCTCCTCCGGACACACTGCTGCATGTGGCTTCTTCTGAAAGACCAAGGTCCTGGGTGTGGCAAGGGGCACAAGGCCACAGAGATCACAGATGCCACGTGTACAGGGGACTCACATCCTCTCACTGTGTCTCTAAAACCACGCAAGGGGCAGGAAACAAGGAAAGTGGCAAAGAATAAAAAATTCTTAGGGACAGCCAGATAGCTCAGCGGATTAAAGGACCTCCTTAGGCAGAAGCAGGGGCCAGAGCCCCCGCCCCACCAGTCCCGCCCCCAGGGCATGGTGAGGTGCCACCTGGGACTTGGTGTGGTGGTACACGCCTGTAATCCCAGTGTTTGGGAGGCTGAAAACAGGAGGAGCATTACAAGTTCGATCTGTGTAATGAGACCGTTTTTTATGTACTATGTTAAAAAAAAAAAAAGATTCTTATAACAGGATACTAAACAAATTATGTAATTGCTACATCTGTCAATACCAGAAGACTTTAGAAACAATACAAGTAAACAAATACTTTACACAGTGGATCATAAGGCATTATCTTATTTGGCAATAAAAGCTAAAAATGGAAAGACATAATCTAAAATAAATACATCTGTGTATCCACAGTCGATTAGTAAAATAAGTTAGCAGTGGCTAAATAGCATTCCCTACTTTGGACAGTAAAACTGGTCGGCAACCACACTTATTCAAAAATGTCCATAAATATCAACACGTCTTATGTTTTCATATAATAGCAATAAAGAAGTGGGGCCGGGGAGATGGCTCTGTATAATAAGCGCTTCCCTGACAAGTGCAAGGGCCTGAGTTCAATCCCCAGTTCCGCCAAAAAATAAATAAATAAAAAATAAAAAGTGCTAAGTCACAGAACTGTGGATGCCTCTACCCCCCCATGAGTAAGTGCTTTCGTTGGGTCACACAACAAAAAAAAAGCCTACTGTGAAAATAAAAATCTATGACCCTGACAGGAAAATGGGTAACAAGAATTCTTCAAAGTCCAATGAGACACATGGCTGTGGCTGAGCAGCAGAGGCCATCAGGAGACCGAGTAGTAAAAGACACAGGGTGGAAAGAGAGGCTTGGTGGATGGGTAGGGGTGTGAGGACCAGGGGAGAAGGCGGAGGAGAAAGGAAGTGTGTGCGTACATGCACAGTGTGAAAACACACAATCGTATTGGTCACAGGCATACGCTGGGGCAAAAAAAGAGGCTGAGCTGTGTACCCAGCTCACTAGGAGCCAGCTGCTGACCAGTTACGGTGGTGTGAAATAGGTTTCAAGTTAAAGGTGGTGACTTCTGGTTAGATTCTTCACCTGTCAGAGCAAGAGACGGTTCAGCTGGGCACTGCTGTGCAGCTGGAGTCCGAGGGAGCACCCAAAGAGGCGGCTTCGGGACGCGAAACGGTCAGCATCCCAGGGCGCTGAGCCCAGGCCAGCCGGGTGAGTCCTCACAAGGGCCACCTGAAAACTCTGCAGTCACCCTGGGTCACACAGGACTCTACCTCTCTCCTAGACTGTCCTCATTTTATAATTCTTACAAATTATACAGAAGGTTGATTTTTCAATTCCACTGAGAAATAACTGACACAGAACGTTTGCACCAAAGAAGATGCAGGCTGGGTCTCTCCTGTGGCGCGAACCCCAATGCTGGCCACAGCCTTTCCTACGGACAGAGACCTATGCTCCGGCAGCGCTGAACTCGGCCAGCAGGGACTTGGGACCAGACATGCGTGAGACTGGCCCTTGAGCCAGGCTGGGGTCCTGGCAATGACGGCGACACCCAGCAAACAATGACGCTTTGAAGGACCCATGTCTCTGGCAACAGTTCTGACTTCATGAATGTGTTATATCACATCCTGAATAAGCACGACAGGGAGGACGTGAGTAATCGATCTTTCCTGCGAAAAGTCAGCCAAACGCTGAAGACCCTGCCGTGCGTGTTGTGGGAATACAATGGGGAAAGTGACACTGCACACGTCACATCAGAGGGGCCCACACAGCAGAGCTGGGTTTCCACTTTATATTGATATTTTATTGTTTCCTAATTGGTTGAAAAGATGTTTAAAATGGGAAAAAGAAAAAAAAATAATAAAAGGCTAAACATGCAAACTCGGAAATGCCAGGCTAAAAATGAGCTACATTTTTGTGTGAAGAAGGTATGCAGCTTTCTTTCTTAGCCTACTGACAAGTAAATATGAGAAGCAGCGGTTTATCTGAGCAGAGGGGAAAATATTTATGAACAATTTTTGATCTATGAAGTAGAATCGTTTTATACTCCCTCTTGTCTCAGTAAGTGAAATGATAAAATATAGTAGTAGTAAAAAATATAGTTTCACACAAATAATTTTCCAGAACTACAGACCACTTTCTAAAATAAAAATAGGGTGAAAAAAGTTTAACACCCTTAAGTGTTTTTTTTTTTTAAGTTTATTTATTT